AATACAAAGCCGGCAATTATCTAGAAGTATGTGTTCGTAGATTGTCATTACTAAACATTTCTTAGGCCTGGTTCACACCTAGGCGTATTGCGCCAAATGCGCGTTTCCGAGGGCTACTTGGCTGTATCCCCATGGAAACGCGCAACAAAAACAGCCCAAAGTAGTACATGTACCTTTTCAGGCGTGGGCCGTTTTGTAGCGCGTTAGGGACAGGCTGAAATACGCCAAGGTGTGAACCAGACCCATTGAATACAATGGGATTTAGATGTTTGAGCGTTTTGTAGAGCGTTCGTCGAGCGTAGAACGCGCTACAAAACGTTCAGGTGTGAACGAGGCCTAAAGGTGCCTTTGCTGTTATTTTGATAATATGGGTAAAGTTTCGCTTTAAGGCCCAAAATAATAGACCATAGCTGCAATTTGTCCTGTGGCCCTCACCCTGGTTCTCCTGTGGACACTGAAGCTGGATTCTGCACCATATCCCCTCTGTTCAGTTACCAATAAATGCTGGCAACCCTGAGATGGACAACATTCCAGTCTACGACGCTCGCTGATGTCACGATTTCAGTAGAGCACTGCACCGGAAACAAATGCACCACTTCTATGCTGTATATATTTTAATATGTTAAATCATTTCCGTCCAGCCAGTCAAGATGGCTGAAGATCCCGGACCCACAAGACGCCTAGGAGATGTCGGCACCAGCGAGGGAGTTTGCCGATGTTGCACCAATGCAACACAGGGGAGTATATTCCTGTTTTAAAGGGTATGTAAAACCCAACAATACCCTTCTTGGTCTGTGAAATATACCATGTGACGTGCTTGTTATATCTGTTGGGTAAATACTTGCTGATCCTGCCAGAAATCTTGTCAGCTGTGCTCTTTGCCTCTGCTGGGATCTAACCAGTTTCCAGCCATCTCTTAGGACTACCATCTATGATATAGAGAAGAGTTCAGGAAAAGGTCTTTGTTGTACAAATCAGGAGAGCAGCCAAGCTTGACAACACTTCTCCATAGATACGGTATATTATGCTGAGTGAGTATTGTCACCCGAAGACAGGAAGTGTTACTGGCAGGATCACAAGGTAAAAAGTACAGGGGAAAAATGCACCTTTTCAGGCGTGGGCCGTTTTGTAGCGCGTTAGGGACAGGCTGAAATACGCCAAGGTGTGAACCAGACCCATTGAATACAATGGGATTTAGATGTTTGAGCGTTTTGTAGAGCGTTCGTCGAGCGTAGAACGCGCTACAAAACGTTCAGGTGTGAACGAGGCCTAAAGGTGCCTTTGCTGTTATTTTGATAATATGGGTAAAGTTTCGCTTTAAGGCCCAAAATAATAGACCATAGCTGCAATTTGTCCTGTGGCCCTCACCCTGGTTCTCCTGTGGACACTGAAGCTGGATTCTGCACCATATCCCCTCTGTTCAGTTACCAATAAATGCTGGCAACCCTGAGATGGACAACATTCCAGTCTACGACGCTCGCTGATGTCACGATTTCAGTAGAGCACTGCACCGGAAACAAATGCACCACTTCTATGCTGTATATATTTTAATATGTTAAATCATTTCCGTCCAGCCAGTCAAGATGGCTGAAGATCCCGGACCCACAAGACGCCTAGGAGATGTCGGCACCAGCGAGGGAGTTTGCCGATGTTGCACCAATGCAACACAGGGGAGTATATTCCTGTTTTAAAGGGTATGTAAAACCCAACAATACCCTTCTTGGTCTGTGAAATATACCATGTGACGTGCTTGTTATATCTGTTGGGTAAATACTTGCTGATCCTGCCAGAAATCTTGTCAGCTGTGCTCTTTGCCTCTGCTGGGATCTAACCAGTTTCCAGCCATCTCTTAGGACTACCATCTATGATATAGAGAAGAGTTCAGGAAAAGGTCTTTGTTGTACAAATCAGGAGAGCAGCCAAGCTTGACAACACTTCTCCATAGATACGGTATATTATGCTGAGTGAGTATTGTCACCCGAAGACAGGAAGTGTTACTGGCAGGATCACAAGGTAAAAAGTACAGGGGAAAAATGCAGTCACTACATCTAAGGATTAATAAACTACAGTAAACTGTATTCAGTTTTTTTCTTGGGTTAAAATAGGCTTTAATATTAAGTAGATATCTCTGGATCTGAAGGCTCAGAAATGTAGGTAGAAAACGTTTATTTGTATGACTTCTGACAAAAGTTTTAAAATGCTCTTGAAATACATTTGTGTTCAGTGCCAGTAGAACTAGAAGTAGACTAAAAGTGAATTCCCTTTAAGGTTCTTCAATTTCAGAATGAGAAGTCAACATATGCTCTCTAAGGGGAGTGGATACAGACACTACTCCCCTACTGAAATCATTTTTGCGTTTCTTGCTTAAGGTGGAAAACCCCTTTAAGCATACAAAGTAATAAATAATGTGTGTGCTCTGCTATTTCTGATTTATTTATGGTCCAGTAAATGTGATCTCGAGCCGACCATTAGATTATCACCATTACACGTGCTTCATGTGGTTAGGGATGTCCATCAGTGCATAAAGTAGATTCTTTTCATCACATAAGCAGATTAGTGTTTTTTCCCACAATTATCAAAGCAAAATGCAAACTGCAAATCTGCTTCTACTTATTGTAAATCACTTCTAAAATAAATACCAATGCTTTGTCATAATTAAAGAAAGCTCCCATGAATACAAATGCAGATTAAACCGAAATCTGCCTGGCTTTGCTGAGCCCTTGCCTAATTGTTAAATGAAATAAACCTATGTACATTACTAGACAGTCTACAAGATATACTAACAGGAGTATTTTGGCAGAATCAAAGAGGAACTGCTATCACAAATAGTCTTTTATTATTACAGTGAACCCAAGAAAGCATTTGAGAGAATATATTATATATAAATAGACGTTGCGCCCTCCAACTATATAAGCAGTGAGCACTAAATTTAAAAATAGTTTTAAACCAAAAATATTGTGAAAAATATGTGTAAAATATATATATATAGCGCGGCACATATTTTTCACAAAATTAATATATATTTAACGCCAACTGGATACCCATTACTTTATTGCTGGGAAGGGGGCTCCATATAGATGAGTCAGTTAAGGACCCCACTTTAAACACTAAATACATTAACACATTATGGTAGCCTCTAGTGCTAGTAGCTGGTATGGTAGCCTCTAGTGCTGGTGCAAAATGTGCAGGGGCATGTCACATATTTTATGATGTTGTAAACCCTAATAACAAAAAAATTGTTGTGATCGGAGCTCATCTTTAAAGAACTCCAGGCAAAGAAAATCTTAATCCTTACAGTGGGGCTTCCCCCGCACTGCAAGGGTTAAGTGCCCTTATTGTCTAGGGAGCTAAAATAACAGTTATACTAACCTGAACCACGATCCCGGCTGGCTGTTAGACCGCTCGCTGGAGTCTTTCAACCCCTCTGCTCTGGCGGTCTAAGGTCCTGTGAGTCATCATGTCCTATACAGTGTATAAAACATGAGGATGTTGAGGAATATTCCATCGCTGGAGAGGAGGATGAGACAGGCTGTAGGGACCGGACTAGGAGCCAACTGGGATCACAGTTCAGGTGAGTCTCTCTCTGTTATTTTAGCTCCCTAGGCAAAATGAACATTTAACCCCTGCAGTGAGGGAGTGGCCCCACTGCAAGTATTACGATTTTATTTGCCTGGAGTTCTTCTTTAAAATAATAAAAAGTGGAGATGTTGCAGGATGTAACAAATTCAGTTTGATGTCATTTTGATATTGTTTGAAAATGAAAGTAAGCATATGAGTTTCTTTTTCATTCTTTTACAGACGGCCCCTTTTAAATAAAATCATTCAATACTCAAACTGAAAATGTAAACTTTTTTTAAAAGCTCTTTACATTTTCAAAATGCCCAGAGAAGTGACAATCAGCTATTAATAGACCCGTTATAAGCTGATTCAATAAAACTTTATTTCTTAAAGAGACACTATCACCAAATAAGAAAAAAACAACAAACCTGTAATATTTAGTACAGTATTAGGCTGAGTCCCTATAAAAGGTAAAAAGGGGGTGCTTCCCAGGTGCTTCTGACCATGTCCTTTCCAACCCCCAGGATGGCAGCATTCACTGAGCAGAATAAGCTTTTGTGTCTCTCAACATTTGCATTGTTTCCCGCTGGTGTATTTTTTGGCTTGTGTGCTTCTTCAGTGACGCAATAATCATAGAGTCCTTTATTTTCTGATTTACTTCTCCATCTGATGGACCCTTAAGGTTCCTTCAGAGGTTACTGGGGGCTCCCTGAGCAGTGGTGGATTGATCTCCCACCTGATTGTGCCTGCATAGTTCCAGCACCTACATCAGAACCAGTGGCAAGGGATCAGGTAAGAAACCATTGACACCAATGATTATTTCAGCGGTCTGTAAGAGGGACATTTCTTCCACTAATCAACAATGTAAAGAGGTCTTTCTTCAACTGACCACCACAGTAATGGGACATTAAAATTTTTAGTTTGATTAAGCTTTGGATGGCCAATACTCTATGATACTGGAAATATTAGCTTTGGGTGGACTGATAATGCAACATAGTAAAACTAAAACACAACTGTTTAGTAATCCACCTAAATTTTCATTTGGCTGCCCCTTCATATCGTTCATTACACAGCTAGGGTGAAACGGTTACAAAAAGATCACCTTTATTTATGAATTAGTTAGTTGCCAACAAGGAAAGAATGGCTATAGCTGAAAATCTGTAGAGAAAGGCCAGCCAACCTTGATATATTGGGCTCCAAAGAGTACAATGTAGTCCAAAATAATTTAAAAAAAAAGCCTTTCTGTTCTGCAATCTAGGGTTGTAAGGCAACAATTAACGGAATGTTGCAGAAAGAACACATGAAGGGAGGAAATGGAAATAAATAAAATGATACAACTTAAAGACATACATATACTTGACATCTAACATGAAACTAAAGTCGAGGCTAGTGTCCCTTTAAGGATGATCTTTGACAAAGGGCTGACCCATTATACCAAGCAGCCATAAGGCAGAATAGGTTACACACAGGACTTCTGGCTGGACCTGGTTAGCAGTAAATGGGAGCGCCAGGCATAGTCATGGTGTGAGGAACTGGGATGAATCTCTATTCGCAGTGGAAGCAGGAGGATGTAGTGCTGTCAGTGTCTGAGGACGATTCTGAGGGCTCCTCCGGAGGTTATCATCCATCTGTAGAGAACGCAATGGTATGTTAACAAACTATACGATTCAAACAAGTACCAGCAAATACTACTCATATGGACTTTTTTCAAGAGAAATTCACAGAGTGCAGTAATCCATAGCATGCAATCAGAATGTATCTTTATCTTATAGGACTACAATAACTGAAATATGGTTGGTTGCTGGGGGTATGCACTGTGCACTGCCTTACTGAGCCTTACTGACACAACACATTCAATAATTATACACAGAAGTACACAGGAAAAGGATTAGGTCTGCTTACTACTACCTAAGATTTGGCATATGGGAAAAGTCTACGAATTCCACTGAGGTGATTGCAGCCATTTGCAGCCAAAGGAAACAATCAGAAATAACCTTTCATTAGTTTCCTTTAACCAAAGAGGATGTCTGCTTCACTTCCACAGATTACTAGATCTTGCATACTGTCTTGTTACAATTTATGCTCTATCCTCAGCATTGCATTTAAGAAATACGTGTTTGCTTTGTGAAAAAACAACAAAATCTGGTGAAAGCTGGGGTCTGCAGATGCACATTTCAAAGCCGGACATAGAACTCATTGTTCTGACTTGCAGAGGATGAAAGAAAAAAAACCAAATGAGCTTTAGAGTGATCATGACCTGGCCTAAAATGTCCAAGGAAAGAACAGTGTTGAGGTACCTTAGTCCACAGCTTAACCCCTGGTGTCATGCCCTGTCTTTGTAATTCAAGTGCCAAATGTCAGAGCCTCTACGATCCTCAGACGTTCACGAGTCTTGATCATTTGTTAAAAAAGGTACCTGTAATAACCATGAAGTTTTGAAAGTGGAAACAGAAGTAAAATGCAGGCACCTTGTAGTTTTATCCTTTAAAGCAGATGTTTCCAACTCAAAAGGTATAGGGGACCTCAACTGCGGCGCCTGGCATTACTGAAGAGCCACACATACAGGGTTATTCACAAAAGGGTGAAGAGTTTGGAGAAGTGAACAATCTAGGACAACATAACTGGAATGTGAGTTGAATTGGAGAATTTTTCCTAATCTGCTATTTTGGCCTAGTTTGTTCACTTCTCCTGCCTTCTCCAAACTCTTCTCCCTTTTGTAGGGATGCACCGATATATCGGCCGCAAATGGCACTTTTGGCATAATGCCGAAAGTGCCATTTTCTGTCCGATACAGCAGTGCATCCGTTCTTGCGCTGCTCTGTGTCCCAGCGGGGAGGAGAGAAACTGTCACAGGCAGCCGAGCGCTGCGGGAGGAGAGCACTGTGAGCGGCCGGCGTCTCTCTTCCCCACACCGCTCAGCCTCCTGTCACAGATCAGAGGAGAGTGGTGTGTGGGCGGAGATAGCCAGTGCTGTCACAGCATGCTGAGCTCCGCTCGCTCAGCCTCCTGTGACAGCTGTCAGGATGGAGAGCGGGTACACACACTCAGTGATCGCTGAGTGTTTGTAAATAATTAAGGACAGAGCTTGTTGACTATATCCTCAATTATGAATGAATGGGTAGTGATCTACATCCCCTCCTGTTCATTCATAATTGTGGTTATAGTAAACATGCCATGTCCTCCAGTTATGAATGATCAGGAGCACTCAGTATAGAGGATTCCTGTTCATTTATAACAGAGGCTGCAGAAAAAGAGAGAGATTGAAGACTCTGTGTCCTCAAATCTTTTTCTATTTTAAAAAGGGAAATATCAGGGGTCTGGTTAGATCCCTGATATTTCCCCGAAGCCCCTAAAAGTAAAGTAAAAAATATTCAATAAAAATATTTGAAAAAAACAAACAAAAAAAACCAAAACATTTTCGGTTTTGGCCTGAATTTTTTTTAAATTTCGATTTAGTTTCGGTTTTGAAATTTTCATCTCGGTGCACCTCTACCCTTTTGTGAATAACCCTGATAATGTTCAGTAGATGTAATGCTAGAGATGAGTATAGGAGACTGTAGATATACTAGAGGAGATGATGGCCACTGTGGCCATACTCAGAGCCGGCGTTAGTGTAAGGCAACTCAAGCAGCCGCTTGAGGGCGCCAGCGGGAGGGGGCGGAAAGATCCTGACACAGCTGCAAACATATTTAGATGTAACGGTGTGTACAGGGCTCAGGGCTTCTACTGCAATGATCTCAGCTCCGCGCCGCCCCCTGTGCTGACTTTGGAGCCGCTCAGCCAGCATTGCATCTCCAGCTGTCCCCCCTGCCACGTGCCTTGTGTTGAGTCTCACACTACCTCCTCCGGGCCACTCTCTGCACTGTGGGAACTGTGGGAGGAGCGGTTCTCACCTCTCTCTTCACTGCCTCCTTGTCCCGGGCTGCAGGTACTAGTTTGTGTTTTTCTCTGTCCTGTGTGTAGGTCACTATGTTTGTGTATGTGTGTGTGTGTGTGTGTGTGTGTGTGTCACTGTGCTGTGTATATGTCACTATGTATGTATGCATGTGTGTGTGTGTCACTGTGCTGTGTGCATGTCACTATGTTTGTATGTGTCCCTGTGGATGTGTGTGTATGTCACTATGTTGTTATGTGTGTGTGTGTGTCACTATGTTGTGTGTGTGCCTGTGTGTCACTATGTTTGTGTGTGTGTCTGTGTGTATGTCACTATGTTTGTGTGTGTGTCACTATGTTTATGTGTCGGTGTGTCACTGTGGATGTGTGTGTGTGTGTATGTCACTATGTTTGTATGTTTGTGTGTGTGTGTATGTCACTATGTTTGTGTATGTGTGTGTGTCACTGTGGATGTGTGTGTCTGTCTTTCTCTGTGAGCTTGTAAGCCTCTTAAAGTCATAGTGCCCAATTCATATGCAGTGCGTGAAGTGATATATAAAATATATGCGTGTAAATAACAGAGATCACGTTACTATAAAAGGTTTCTACACTGTAAAGCACAATTTGCATTATTTTTATTTATTCCTGATCACCCAGATACATTTTACATGTTTTATTTATATATTTTGAAGTAACAAAAGCTAAACCAAAACTACAGCTCGTATACCGCGAGCTGTAGCTCGCGGTATACTGAGACGCGCAGTATACCGTGAGCTGCTGCTCTGGGTATACTTAGACGCCGCAGCTGAAGCGGATCCCGACAATTATGTCTGGATCCGCCCAGCTGCGTGAGTGACAACTGGCTCTGCCTACCAGAGCCAGCTGTACCCGCCCCCTCCCCCGTCCGTTCCGCCAGTCAGGACTGGCGGATCGGAGAGGGGAGGTGGGAATCCAGCCCCTCCCCTGTCACGGCAGAGACCCGTGGCAGGATCGAGAGGTGAGCGAACGATCCCCTTTACTATGCACTTTCAGAAAAAAACATGTCTTTAAAGGAAAGAAAAATGATGATAGTGGTGTACCAATGCCTTCAATAGACAATCACATGTGAAAGCAATATAAAAATCAGGACGTGTGTGCGTTTACTGGCTCTATTGTGTGATTTCAACAGCTACATATTTGAAATCAATGTCCCCATCCTCAATGAGACCAGAGTATTTCCTTAAATATTTCTTCTGGAGTAAAGTTGTGTTAAATTGCTGCTGGGAAAAGTCCAAATAGCTTCCTAACGACAACGCAGCTCATTTAGTGCGGTTAATGAATGTGTAGGCACACAGACACTCTGTTTATAGATACTTCCCCTGCAATGACATCAGCACACTTCCACGTAAAGGATGCCGAATTGCTGAAATCAGGATAATTGAGAAAACAAGGGTTTGTTATGAACTACTGGAAAATATGACTGGGCTCAAAGCAAAATATAATCAATGAGGCATGCCAGCCGGGTATAAAGAAAGCTTTGTTTAAGTAATTCAAGAGCGAATCAATCATATCACTAGCTATGTACGTGAACAAACGGTGTGCTTTTCTAGATGCGCCCTCATTGGTCTCCCGGTTAGACACAGGAGTGTGATCTAGGCTGTAATGGCCCATTTGCTGTGCCAATAGATTGTCCCATCCCTTCACAGCTACTTAATTCCCAGAAATGGGAAATGATTTTCCAGATGAACACCTATAGGGAATTGTGACTGAGCAGCAATGGCATTAACAGATGTGTATTGTTCAGTTCTCTAGGTAATGTGGTCTTTAATTTCCAATGCAATACATACTGAAGGCAAATGTCATCAACACTGGGACAAGGAAGATGTGGTCTATGAAAACTGGAACAAAAGGGACACTGCTGTCCTTAGTGACTGATAAATCTCTCATATACAGGTGAAACTCGAATAATTAGAATATCATGCAAAAGTAATTGCAGTAAGTGCTGCAAAAGGGGCCCAAACCAAGTACTGAGCACATATGCATGCTTGTACTTTTCAGAGGTCTGATATTGTTCTATGTACAATCCTTGTTTTATTGATTGCATGTAATAATCTACTTTTTTGAGATTGTGGATTTGGGGTTCTTGGGGTTTTCATGAGCTGTAAGCCATAATCATCACAATTATGACAAATCACGGCTTGAACTATCTTGCTTTGCATGTAATGAGTCTATCTCATATATTAGTTTCACCTTTTAAGTTGCATTAGTGAAATAAATGAACTTTGCACAATATTCTAATTATTCGAGTTTCACCTGTATTTTGCACAGCCAGACAGGATCAACACAGGAGCACAGACAAATGCACCCTCTCTATTAATCCTAATGACCACTGTCACAGGGACAAATACTGTAGTGATGGGAAATGTGACAGCTTGTCACTACACTAAGGGGTAAAGGGGACAACTAAAAAGAAAAGCCTTGGCTATAGAGATATTTCACATGGCCATTACCAGCAAGCCATAGTATAGGGATCTAGACTTTTTCCCTAGAAGAAACATACACTTCTATGTGTGGATACATGGAATAATACAGGTGGACAAACTCTGGCCCTTAATGAATAACTTAATGAATGCTGCTGAGAGAAGGATAAAAGCATTCTTCTGATGGGATGGAAGGGGGTCTATCTTAAAGAAGAACATTGGTTTGTATTATTCCAAGGGTGGGCAAACTCTGGCCCTCCAGCTGTTGTAAAACTACAAATCCCATCATGTATCTGTTCTGAGAGTCATGTCTGTGACTGTGACTCATGGGATTTGTATTTCCACAACAGCTGAAGGGCTGAAGTTTGCCCACCCCTGGAATAATATAAACCAATGTTCTTCTTTAAGATAGACCCCCTTCCATCCCATCAGAAGAATGCTTTTATCCTTCTCTCAGCAGCATTCATTAAGTTACAGCCTTCCAAGAACAATATACCTATTTTGCTAGCTATTGCACTGTTAACATTGCTAAACACATAGTTGGGGGTCTGGAAAAAGAGATGACACAAAAGGAGAAGAATGCTGGTTATAAACACAGGTCTGATTAGTAGAAAGGGAATAAAGAACATTAGAAACAGATTATAACCTTTTCTATGAGGTTGGATTCCTTATTTACAAGTTGTGTAAGTTTCTGTAAATTTGCATCTATTGCTTCCTGGCCAGCAGGAGGTGAGCCTATAGAGCCAAAGAAGAGAAGGTGAGAGCAGGAAATATCATTAGTATTAGAGCAGACAGTGAAAGAGACAAATAAGTAATGAAGTAATGAGGGTTTGAAACTTTTGTTAGACTGCAACTATGCTTAATAATCCTTTTCCGTATACCTGGAGTGCCCCTCAGATCCCAAAAATCTTTTATGGTCAGTGACTGAAGTCTAGAACTCATGGACATCACCTGGGTGTTCTCCCTAGTGATGCTTCGCAAGGTATTCATGGCAGCTTTCTTCAGTTGTTGGTTTTTCTACCTCAAGTGAAATGCATGTTCAGTCCGGTTGAGGTCAGGTCACCAATGTGGCCATTGAAGAATAATTCACTTATTTGCCTTTGAAAGCTCTTGGAATGCTTTTGCAATATATTTCGATGCATTGTCCATGTGTATGATGAAGCACTGTCCTATCAGTTTTGTAGTATTTGGCTCACTGGGAGTAGACTGTGTAACCCAATACACTTCAGAACTTATCCTATTGCTTCTTTCCACCAGTCATCACTAGTGCCCCAGTTCCACTGACCTCCATACATGCCCATGTCATAACACTGCCTCCACCATGATTCACAGATGATGTAGCATGCTTTGGATCATGAGCCCATTTTTCCATCTCAATATTCTTTTCTTCCGATCATTCTGGTACATGTTGATCTTTTCTGATCAGTTTCATATGTCCAAAATATTATTCCATACTGGGCAGGCTTGTTTTCTGACAAAGTCTACGCTGTACTTCCTATTAGTGAGGCTTTACCAGTGGTTTGAGGTAAGCCCTCTGTATTTAATTTCCTGAAGTCTTCTCTTGATTGTAGACTTTGCCAATACTACGCCTGCTTCCTAGAGAATGTTCTTTACTTAATGTAATGAAGGGGCTTTCCTTTACCACGGAAATAATTCTATAATCACCCAGCAGTTGACATCCTCAGTGGTCCAGGCCTTTTAGGGGGTTGCTAAACTCAGCAAGGGCATTGTTTCTTCTTAAGAATCTACCACATTGCTGATCTGGGCACTGCTAATGTTTTGTAAAATGTTTTGTAGGAAATATGGTAAGCGCACTACTATAAAAATGACTGAGTGGATAAATGTGGTTAAATGGTATTGGGTGTGCTGGCTCCTTAAACAGGGAGAGGAACCCTGTATACAGAATAAACAAAAAACAAGGAAAGAAGCGCTACTATCCTCCGATTATACATTCATGTTTGGAAATAAACTAATTTGGATTACGTATAATACATAAGGATCATTTGTGAAAAGAGGTGACTCACTGTTTGGTGGAGGTAATAGGTGAGTCAGTGGTCGCTGATGAAAAACTGGTGGCGCCGGCAGATGGGGGGATCTGCTCTGGAAACTTGAGCGCGAGGAGAGAACCAGTTCTGGTTTTTCATTTCTGACTTGCCTCGAAACGTGTAGCCGCCTAACACTTCCTCTCATCCGGCGAGACGGACCCCACAGCCTGTCAGTGCCGTGACCGCTCCCTAACGATATCTTGTCACTCACTCACTGCCTACTGACAGCGCAGCAACCGCAGCAGAGCGGCTTCCCCGACGGTCAGCTGAGTCTTGATAGCACTCGACAGCTACATCCAGTGCCCAATATGTGCACATCTGCGGAAGCCTGATGCTGTCTTCAGCCAACAGCTTCTCTACTCGCGCTCAAGTTTCCAGAGCAGATCCCCCCATCTGCTGGCGCCACCAGTTCTTCATCAGTGACCACTGACTCACCTATTACCTCCACCAAACAGTCACCTCTTTTCACAAATGATCCTTATGTATTATACGTAATCCAAATTTGTTTATTTCCAAACATGCATGTATAATCGGAGGGTAGTAGCGCTTCTTTCCTTGTTTTTTGTTGTTTATACTGCTAATATTTCTGCTAACTCTCTGATAGGTATGTTTTGTTTCATCAGCTTAATGATGGTCTTGTCTGTGTGCATTGACGGCTCTTTGGGTCTCAAATTTGAGTTCAAAGCATTAGCTTCCAAATGCAAGTCTAATACTTAGACCAAACTGCAGACCTTTTACCTGCTTATTAAAGAAATACTGAAGGAACTGCCCATCCCTGGCCATGGAACGGCTTGTAAGTTACCTAAGTAATGTTAGTTCTTTGAAAAGGAGGGGGCTGCATATATACACACACAATGCTGTAACTCCTAAACCATTTACCCAGATGGAATGTACACAGTTAGGTTAAAGTTGACAATTTGCACTTTCAGCTCACATTCATTATCGAACTCCAAGGCTAAAACAATAATAATCATGTACAGATCTTTATGGACCTAACTGTATATAAATGCTATTTGGCCTGACAAAGGATTTGTATTTCTGTCCATGCAGTCTGGAGATTTATACAACCCTGCCACACTGCACAGTTACTCTGGAGACCTGACTGATCTGACTGATCTGATTCAGTTAAAAAACACCAGCCTGTGAATGGGCAGCAACAGACTTGACCATATCTCTGCTGGGTTTAGATATGCTTTAAATGACTCTGGGCAGTAGAAAATGTAAACCATGCTCCTCCGCACTGCAAGGGTTAAGTGCTTGTTTTTGTCTAGAGTCTAAAATAACAAAGAAATACTCACCCGAAGGCCGGAGCCAGCTGGCTGCTAGACTGGATCCTGCAGCCAGCTCCGCTAGAGCAGTCTAAGAACATACGAGTCATCACGTCCAATACGGTGTACAGGACTCGAGGACACCAAGAGACATACCATCACCGGACCGGAGGGGGGGAGAAGCTGTAGGGATCGGTGTACAGCCAGGCAGGGCCGAGGTTCGGGTGAGAATATCTGTGTTATTTTAGACCCTAGGGGAAAATGAGCACTTAACCCTTGCAGTGTGGCCCCACTGCAGGGGTTACGTTTTCTTCTGCCCGGAGTTCTTCTTTAACAACAGTGAAAACTGCAGTGCTGCTCTGCAGTAACACACCCACCACCCAAAATCAGTTCTGAGTATCTTAGGCGACACAGCTTCGTGAAACCATAAAAGCAGATTTTGGCTGGCTGGCTTTAACTGCCCTTTGCCTGATCATGCATTAAATAAATCAATTTCATGCTAGTGGTGTAGTCCCCAAACACCAATATCTTCCTATAGCTTTACCAGCCATGCAACAGATGATGTGTACATACCTTCAGCATTCTGTGTGAAATAGGCACTAAGAATATGGTCACAAAATTCACACAAGTTGGAAAGCTGCTTTAAATGTTCTTGCAACTGGACCTTGGGAAGATGAGCTTTATAGAGAGGAGCCAGGAAACCAAAGACGAAGGCGTCCAAAGACGTAGGCCTGAAATCAGACAAAAACGCTTGCTTAAAGTTGTAAGCACTACTGTAATGTTTGCATGAAGTTCCGTTCTGCGGCTGACACAAAGAATTACTGAACATACATTTACATTCTATAGCGGGCACCTCCAGGTAGTAAGGCGAAGAGGGTGGGTCAGAGTCAGCAACCACGGAAGGTGGTTATCTGCATATTAGTAGATAGAAAGAGGTCACCAGCACTCCAATCCAGAGATTCACATTCGTGTAAATCCATTTTATTGACAAAAGTCATAAGAAAAGCGATTTCGGGCCCGCGCAGGGTCCCCTTCATCAGGCTCAGTAATGACGTCACTACTGAGCCTGATGAAGGGGACCCTGCGCGGGCCCGAAATCGCTTTTCTTAAAATGGATTTACACGAATGTGAATCTCTGGATTGGAGTGCTGGTGACATCTTTCTATCTACTGTTGTAGTGTGAGTGGCGCCATGCGCATTCATTGCAGGCACCCATTATCATTGGGACAGACCGGTAAGGAGTGCAACAAGGTATATGGACTTTATATCTGCATATCAGAGCGCTATCAGGGTGCTCTACAGAAATCTGCAGCTAACATTTGTATCAGCAACAGGAACACTGCACACCTACATGCAAAATAAAATTCTTCATTATTTAAAACAGCCAGCATGAACATGTATTAAACTGACGCATTTCACACTAGGCAAAGGCCTTTCTCAAGCTTTTCCTAGAACGAAACACATCACAGAAGAATTTGTTTTTGCTGGCTGTTTTAATAAAGCAAGTATATTATTTTGCATCTCGGTGTGCGGTGTTCCCGATTTCTGGTACAATTGACTGCTGGTGTTATCTCAAGGAACCAGGTTAGCCCTCCCAGTTCCTATCTTTGAACTACACAACAATTAGTCCTGATGTTATGGAGAATAGGACAGTAGGAGAGTTTAAGTAGTTCAAAAGACTACTTGGTAAGGCCGATACCATTCAGCCCACAAAAATGCTGTGTTGTCAGTCCAGAAGACTTGGGAGCTGAGTGCATTTCTGGCAGATCAACATATATTTTTCTGTACTCACAGAGTCTTTAAAGGGATAAAACATTGGGAAATGTGCATGTATTGCAGAGATGTACTACATATTGTGGCCTGACATACACTCTAAATGACAGCTATCACAGTTTTGGTTTATATGTGGGAATTATTATTGCTCAAAAATTCCAATCTATGTTATATTGATGCATTGAGTGTTGCAATTAAATTAATTGATGTATAATTATTATTATTGTTAGAATAGCCCCCTTTGGTCCCCTGAGGAAGCTTTGTGCGAAACGCGTTGGGACCTGGATATATGTCAGTTCCTGTAAATCAACAATGAATGACAATCCGTAAATGAATAATGAATGACAATCATGTTTGCAATTATGGATATTTAACTAAGTTTTAAATGGTTGAGGTTGGGCATATTCTGTGCACTTTGTGTGTGTTATAGCGAATTGGGGGTTTTATTCATATGAACTGTAATTTATTTTTTTATTTTATTTATTATATGTACAATAAATTTTGATATTTTTTTTCACACATGTATTGGTTGTATACCTCTCTTAAACCCCTATTCTTCGTTTTTTCTTTATATGTGGGAATTGTAAATACACTTCTGAATGCATAGGCTTTCAATATAACACAACTAGTATTTGACTATACACACACACTTTCATATGCCATATTGAATAAAGCCATCAATGAAGGATGACGATGCTTTAATCCAGAGGAAGCAACTTTTCAATCTCAATACACAGCAATTTACCTGATTGGCCTTTTAGACAAATTCTAAGCAGAAATCAGCAATGTTTACTCTTAAACCATTAACTCAAACTGGAAAAGTGCTCGATTTCCTTTCTGAAACTCACATTTCTCTAAAAAAGTAGCGCGATGCTCCCAGTCTGTTGGAGAGGAGATTGAGACATTCCTTGGCATCCTTATAAACCTACAAAAACAAACAAAAAATATTATGAGCATAAAAGCCCAAGATGCAAGGGCTACTGGAAAAATGGTAATATCTTTCTTGAGGACATTTTGTTGTTGCCTATTGCTTCATAAAGCCCCGTCACTATAAAGCAATTTATGGAAAAGCTGGAAACTGTAGCAGCAGATCACATTACGATGTTATCCTGAAATACAGCTCTTTGTATTCTTCTCTTGGACTTTTCCATATTTTGTAGTATTACCACCTAGAATAAAAATGGATCCAAGTGGGTTTTACGCCACTGATCTACATAAAGTATTAAAACGGCCAAGATGGAAGAAACATCAGTTTTCCAAATAAACAGACGAAAAACCGAAAAGTCCTGATTTCAAAACTATCCAACCCCCTTTATCGTAGATTAGCCTTAATTCCTTCACAAGTCAACTTTTAATGAAATGAAGTCCACATTGGTGTGCAATTACAGTGTCACATGATCTATAAATAAATACTCTGCTTCTGGAGACTTTTAGTGAGCATATCTAAAAAAAAACAACAGCATCATGAAACCCGAGTTATCAAAACATGACCGGGATAAAGTTCTGGAGAGGCACCAGCTAGGGATGGGTTATACAATACATTACAGACCTTTAACATCTACATAGGACCATTAAATTAATAATTTATAAAACGACAATGTAGAATATTAGAGTTTTTAGACTTTGGTTAGAGAAAGCTGTCCACGAAAGCTAAGTGATAAAGACAGAATCAACTAAAAGGCAACAGCAACTCCAAAAGAGGTGCAGAAAACCACATGAGGGAAAAAAGATTCTTTAGTCTTAAGAGACAAAAACTTAATTTCTTGGCCCTGAAAGACTTTTTGGCTTTGCCACCAGCCTTGGCTCCATCCAGGTTACCACCTCCTCCTTCCCACAACATTTCAGCACTCCCCTGCCAAGATCCCCAAGAGGTGCTCTAACCTGGATGACCTAGCATTATCCAGGCTTGCAGACACCTTCCCTCTCTTAGCAGTCTCACAAGGGAAGCTCCAAGAGGCTTAGGTAGATGAGAGTGAAAACCTGGATCATGTCTAGGCTAATGTGCGTGGCTAAATGTTATCTCAGAGGTATTGAAAAGGATAGGTACTCCATTAGGCTCAAAAAGATTGGTAAAAGGCCCTTTCCCATCCCCCTCTTTTCTGGATGCATGCCAAATAATGAACAGCTAAATTACGGCCTGCTGAAGGAATGGACTCAAAACCAGATTCCAAGTCCATGATATAACTGTACTAGATAACTGCTATAACTCAAAGGTCTGAGGTTTAAGACCTCTGATGGAATAGACTGAAGAAGGCAATCTTACACTGCTTGACCCAGGTCACTACTAGGCTTGTTTCTGGGCTCCATTCATTGAGATGGAATTAGTCAGATGGTCAAGTCACACTATAGCCAGCAAAAATCACCAATAGGATACACCCCTATAGCAGTAACATTCAGGAAGGAAGGGCCATTTACCCTCTATATGCCTGGTGGCCCACCAAGCCTAGCACTCAGCATCCCTCATAGTAGAGGTTTAGCAGCATAAGTGGGAACATCTGAACATCTTATATTCTACAAAAGGTATACACAAAAAGGCAATGTTCTCCTCCGCCTAATATAAACAGACAGAAAGTGCTAAGGCAGGGAGTGAGGGTGGACTCTGTATACAAATACAATAGACTTTAGCCCTTGTTCACACCTGAATGTTTTGTAGCGCGTTCTACGCTCGACGAACGCCCTACAAAACGCTCAAAAATATAAATCCCATTGTATTCAATGGTCTCATTCCCACCTTGGCGTATTTCCGCCCGTCCCTAACGCGCTACAAAACGGCCCACGCCTGAAAAGGTACAGGTACTATTTCTGGGCCGTTTTGTTGCGCGTTTCCATTGGGATACAGCCAAGTAGCCTTCGGAAACGCGAATCGCGGTAAAAAAAAACACGCGGCAGATGCGCATATGCAATACGCCTAGGTGTGAGCGAGACCTTACAGACTATAGACATGTGCCATGACCAGGTCTTCTGATACCCAAGGTGAATAAGCCAACATGTTCCTCTCAATCTGAGCTGAGATGGATGGTTCTCACATGACCACACATACTGTTGTGAAAACTGTGCAGGGTGCCGTCCACTTGCCATAGGGTTGGCACCTTTATCTCCAAAGAAAACCAGACAGTTTGAGAGGGTGTTCAAGAAAAAACAAACAAATTGCAAGGAAAATAATGTTTAAAAAAAAAACATTTACATTAGTAGAAAGAAAAAGGGAAAAGGTAGTTTTTCTTCCCATACATGTGTCTGCTGCCCAACTTCTGGGCTGAGAGGCATCTAGCCTACAATTTTGACTGAGTCCTACTGACTGGCACAAAGTCAAGCTCCGCGATCCCTGCCGCCACCAACAGTCTTGACAAATGTCAATGATTCAATCAAACAGGTAGAAAACTGTCACCAAACAGTCAATGCAGCCAATCAGCTGCAATAGACTGCCTGGGGAGATTATTTCATCTACAATATTTAGTATGGATGGAGAAATCTGTTAGAATTCCTTTGTTCTACTCGCGGGCTGTATGAAAAAAGTGTATGGTCAACTTTACTCTACCCAGAAGTTAGCAAACAGGCAGCCATGGCCTCACCCCTTGTAGTCCTCTGGACAGGACCATACTTTTAATGAGGCAGCCTGAGGCTGTTGCCTCAGGCAGCATCAGTTTGGGTCACGCGGGGGCAGCAGGCAGAGTGGCATGGCTGCTCTCCTGCTGCTCAATGTTTGCAGTGTGTCTGCCACCTGTTTCTGGCTAGAGCGTCCCAGGTTGCTAAGAGCCAAGTGGGGAGAAGTATAAGTGCCATACACATCTCAGCTCTGAGCAACCTGGGACGCTCTGGCTGGTGTCCCACCCAGCTCCTGGCAACCAGTGACATCACTGGTTGCTAGGAGTTGGGCGGGATGCCCAGCTGGGAGCGGAGAAGCAGAGCCTTCAGAGGGGTGCATGACTCCACCACTGCCCCCGCACTATAGAAGGTGTAGCCAGTGCTGGTGGTGCACAAATGCAGGCAAAGCATTCCCATGCTCGTTCTAAGCAATAACCTCAGAAAGTAGGGCTGGAAACACAGAATCATGTGGCAAGAAACTACAGTCCTGTCCAAAAGCAAGATGAAAAGCCTGTGGAATATGCAATAGATTATTTTAAACTTTGATTTACAGTAAACTGAGTCAATGTTCTGACTTTAGTACAGCTGCAGTGTCTCCTGGACAGAATTCACAGTTATTTTTTGGCTGGAGTTGGCCTATTATTAACCTTTGTTCTGTTGTTACCTGAGCTTCCACTTCATTCAGACTGTAGAGCGGAGGCTGCCCCTTGGTCACCAGGATCCTGTTCAAAGCCTCTCTGGACATCTTCCCAGGCAGGTAAAAGCTCAGAGGGAAAGGAGTGTGTGATGAGTACCAGGGCCTTGTTACACTGGAATAATTCTCAGCATCAACCCAAAATGTGTGCAGCTGTGAAAATACAGACGTATCAGTAAGAAAAGTTAAATAACCAGCATGGAATCTTAATTCAGCTATACATCAGTGCAGACAAGATTACATGATTCATAATGTAATCCCTATCCATATTCCCAGACAGCTTAAGTGCCGAGTTTTATGACTTCATCAGCAAATACACAAATGAAGGGATCATTTTAACTACCGTATATCCTGACCATGCAGAATTGTATAGGTGCTCTCCTTTATGAGAAACCTGTATTGAGAGACAGAGGCTGTCATTCAGAATTTCAGACCACCTTCTGGTGCTAGTTGCCTGGCTGCCTCTGACTTCAATACTTTATGAAATCACTCACCTTGAACAAACATAAAGAACAGATTAAATACCTATTCTGCATCAGAAAGTACGACAGCCAATGAATCAGCATGACAGCCGGGTAGCTAGCATTTTTAGAGAAGTCAGCAGCGGCAACCGTCAATACTTCTTAGTTATAGGTGTCATTTTAAAAGAGATTCTAGTTAAAATGTGAACCTGTGCTTCGTGCATGCAGGGCAAGCAACAGGTTTACCTAAAGTGTATGAAAATCCAAAATATAATCCTCAGTATGTTTGGCATCATGTCCCACCGTAAACTGTTTTGTGCATATGTTGCAAAGTTTCTTTCTTGGAGATTCTGTCTGTAACAGCACCTCCTTTTGCAAGCTGGCAACGCTAAGCCACTGCCTCGCAACTGTCAGCGGCGTTGTCACCTTGCAGGGCATGCTGCTTCAGTTGGTTGGTGAGCTGCCTATCTGATAGACAACCCAATGGCCAACTGAAAGATTTCCCCCCACCAGCAATGACTGTGATCAATAGTCCTATATATTAGGCACTATATCAAACAGTAAATATCCAGCTAGATGCCCAGATTGTCATTTAGCTATGGGTGGCACAAGGAAAACAGATGTCTGCTGAATATATCTTGAATAGTGCTAAGTACACTCACCATTGCAGGAAGCAGTTTCTCCTCGAGTAGAGCAATGTATGCCAGTGTATCTGACCCCTCTCTCGCCGATAGCACATAATCAGCATTATATTTCTGTTAATAGTAAGAATAAAGCATTTAAGCTGTAGACTTGTGCAGATACTTTGAAAGAATGTCATATGAACATAACATCACATTTGCAAAAATATATATTTTTTACCTATAGCATCAATATGATCAAACTGGGAAATTTAGATTAGGACATGCAAGGGCCTTGTGATGTACAATGATCAATGATGGCAAATTGAGCTGATCATCACCTCATATTAGAGAGTTGCTATATTTCAATTTATAGTACGCAGGATAAAAAGTGTTGTCACCTTAAAGCTTAAAGGCCACTTCTTCAGGAATGATGTTCAGGTCTCGCGACACTTATCTACTCACTGACATATCAACATGGATGTCACACCACTTCCTTAACCAGTTGACATCCGCGGTGTTAAACCCCCTTCCCATCCAGGCCATTTTTCAGTATAAAAAACGGGTGTGTGCATTGATCGGGACTTTTCTGCCCGTGCGTGCCCGCTAGGGGGCGCGCGCGAGCAGAAAAAAATTGCCGTCTGGAGACGGCAACCCGCAGATGCTGCAGTGCCGTCCGTCCGTTTTTTTACTACGGGCGGACGGCAAGAGGTTAAACTAAACTGGTCCAAAACTAAACTTATAATATTTCCTCCTCTTTATGTCCCATCCCCTGACTTCTCCATCACGATCAACAGTACAACTTTCAACTCCTCCCCTCATGCAAGGGTGATCGGTGTAATCCTCGATTCTGAGCTCTTCTTACAGCCCCACATCCAATCACTATCCAAATTTGCTGACACAACCTTCGTAACCTTTCCAAAATGCATCCCTTTTTAAGAAATTACCCCTTATCAACCCGTCAGCATCTGCAACCTCTCTCTCCCAATCTCTCCACTGGCTCCCACTTGCCTAACAAATAAAATTAAAAAAACTAACAATAAAACATACAAAGCCATCTACAACTCTGCCCCCAACTACATCACTAACTTTATCTTAAATTATTACCCAAACCGTCCTCACCACTGCGCTCCAGACCTCCTACTCAGTAGCTCCCTCATCACCTCCTCCCATGCTCACCTTCAAGAGTTCTCCAGAGCCTCTCCCATGCTCTGGAACTCCCTACCCAAATCTATGTGTTTATCTCCTACTCTGTCCACCTTTAAGCGATCCTTGAAGGCTCATCTCTTCAGGGAAGCCTATCCCACCTCAACATAACTGTCCTTTTACTTCTTTCATTAACTCATCCCACACAATTATTACCTTTTGTATCAATTGCTTAGCTTACGTAACACGTGTTTGCACAGTATACTAGGCTTTCTAAGTACAGCACTCTCTGCTTTAACATATAATTTATTAAAGCAGATGTTAAAGCCAGGGGTACCATATTTTCACAAACTCTGGTAATCTGTCATGTGAAATTCTCAAAATGTTTTCATGAGTCATAACCCATTAAAGTTTGGTTTTAGCCATAGTTAAATTAATCGTTGACGATTCCTAGGATCTACCGATTTCGATTTTTGCCGCTAAGAAGAAGCAGCGTACCAGCATTGGAGACCGTTTTGGTATTCCAATTAAATTAATCATTGAGGAGGGCTATACATAGATTTTGGGGTATATTAAAATTGGTAACAGAAATTGACACTGCCTGGCCAAAACAAAAGTCACCACCTGATTTAGCAAATAGGTAAAAACCCTCCACTGGATAAGTGTTATGGTCTGGTGATACTTCAGTCGGTCAGGTCTAGGTTCAGTAACGTTATGTCCCAAAAAATGAGGTCAGCTGCCTACCTGGGTATACTGAAAAACCCTGATGGCAGGGGCATATTCCAGGATGACAATGCCAAGATTTCCATTTTCACACATGGATTGGTCACCACAGAGTCCAGACCTTAGACATATTGAGAATCTAAGACTAAGACTTTACGCAGTGGTCTGACTCTCCCATCATCACTACAAGATCTTGGTGAAAAAGTAATGCAACTTAGGATGGTAATTAATAGGAGGAGAACTATGAGGTGAGTGATTTTCACTTAACCTCATAGTTCGAGCCGACGAGTGACAATATAAATTGTCACACGTTGGCTCAATAGATCGAGAAGTGAGCGAACACATACCGTTGCTCGCTCACTTCTTGATGATGTCCCTGCAGAGAGCCGTGACTGTCACTCACGGCTCCCCTCCCCATTCCGATCCTCCAGCGCTGACTGGCGGAACAGACGGGGGAGGAGGCGTGTACTCTAGATAGGCAGAGCCAGCTGTCACTCACGCAGCTGGGTGGATCTCAGCAGTAATGTCAGGATCCGTCCCGGCTGCGTCGGTCTCAGTATAACGCAGGCTGTAGCTCACAATATACTGAGTTTCGGGTCACAGGAGGACGCTAGTTTATGTCCTCCCGTGACCCTTAGGAGAACTATGGGGAAAACCACTTACCCCCATAGTTCTCCTTTAATGTGGTGACATTGCATAAGCCTATCGAAATGATGCCACTGGGAATGTGTGCCATAATCAAAGCTAAAAGGCGGTCCAAGAAAATATTGGAGTGTGTGACTTTTTTTTCGACCAGGCAGTGTACTATATTGTTCCTCAATAGCTGCTTTGTCTGAAACAGTGTGAAGAAGTATTCAGATTAGGGATGCACCGATATATCGGGCGAAAATTGCACTTTTGGCTAAATACCGAAAGTGCAATTTTTGTGCCGATACATCGGCGCATCCCTGCGTTCTCTCCTCCCCACTGGGTGCTGCTCTGTGTCCCAGCGGGGAGGAAAGAAAGCGTAAAAGCCGCCCAAGCGCAGCGAGAGGAGAGCGATGTGAGCGGCCGGCGTCTCTCCTCCCACAACGCTCAGCCTCCTATTATAGTCCGGCAGAGCGATGTGAGGGCGGAGACAGGCCGCGCTGTCACAGGAGGCTGAGCTCTCCTCCCTGCTCAGCTCGCTCAGCCTCCTGTGACAGCGTGTCAGGAAGGAGAGCGAGTACAAACACTCAGCGGTCAGTGATCGCTGAGTGTTTGTAGATAATTGAGGACATAGCATGTTGACTATATCCTCAATTATGAATGAATGGGAAGTGTTGTTTAGACCCCCGATATTTCCTCAAAGCCCCTCAAAGTAAAGTAAAAAATAAAAATATTTAATAAAAAATGAATAAAAATAAATATAAAAAAAGTTTATAAAAAATAAATAAAAAATAAAATATTTTAAAATGTGAAAATAAAAATAAACATTTTCAATTTTGGCCTGACAATTTTTTTGATTTCGGTTTCATTTTTGGAATTTCCATTTCAGTGCACCTCTAATTCAGATATATATTTTTTCTAATGTAGAAGGAACTAACTTTGATGACAACAAAGTTTGTTTCAATGAGAGACACAATAAGCATTTGCTTGTGAGCCTGTATCAAGCATTTGTGCCAATCTCTGGTTACTACAGTTTAATGTTTCCTTTTTCCCAGTAGGGTAGTTTGGATGTAGTAGTTGTAAACTGAGTGTATAGGAAGGAAATACTTCCTTTCTGTCCCATTGAGGTGAAGCACCAATGTTCTAAAAGAGGTCATAACAGGCCCTTATTTCATGAGTGATGTTTATAAACTGCACAATTTGATTTAATCTAAATGTCTTGCATGAAGGCATCTTAAAGGTGTTAACCAAGTGCTCCTTTGTGAAAATTCCTTTATGAACAATAAAAAGGCACCTATTCTGTGCAGACCTTTATCTATCCACCATTTAGGGCTCATTCACACTATATGAGGTGACTGACATTTTCCAGCAAGGGAACACCAGTCACAGCTAGGGCACATAAACACAATTGTTTATGTGCCCCCATCTATACCACATTGGTGTGATCTGCGATGCAGTATTCTGTGAAAGAATGCGGACATTGCTGCATTTTTTCACAGCATACTGGACTGCACCACAGGTCACTGCCCTGCTGTTTGGTGACCTGAATTGGCTATACAGTTTGTAGACTCCAAATAAAGTTGAAAGAAAAGTAACAACGCAAGGGACAGGGGCTCACCGCTGCCAATCAACTGACACTAGCTACATGGTAGAACACAGTGTTTTATTGTGCGTCTTGTGTGAAGGAGCCCTAAAATGCAGTAATTTCCATTCCAGGTGAAGATAACTGAGAAAAGGGCTAGTGGTGTATGTTGTAATAAAAATAATTTACTTGTGTTATTCCAGATATTTCATGAATGAGTTAATGTTGGAGACATTAAGACTGGCCTTTGTTTAGAAGTGAGCCACATTAGAAGGTCTACAGAGAGTGATCCATCTGCTAAGGACTCTTTAGTAAACCCAAAAATGATCTGGGATTAGGATGTTTAAGCATTATAATGTAGGTAAGACAGTCTTTTTTAAAGCATTTATGAAATCAGGAATCCAACAAAGATGGACTTTTCCATTTTGTATGATTTTTTCATATGCTGAAGTACACTCCTTCTCTACATGTCCTCTGCCAGAACATACGCCACCTCCCTCTCCAATTTGGCAGAGATCTGGACATCATAGACAATTACATCAGCTCTCTACTTGAATAGATACTTTAATGATTAGCTTTAATGTTATATAAACATTCTTTTTAAGTCATGATTTAAATTATAATACATTTCGTAAATGGTCATGGCAGGCTGGATGAAGTAGCCATGCAATCCACTTAAATTTGTTCTTTCGCGTGGAAAGATTGACTTCCAGTTCTTTGTCATTCTATTTACAGGCACAGAATTTTTTTATTCAAGAAAGTATTCAGCCCGATTCATGTTTTTTCATTTTGTTTAATGTTTTGTTATTCTTTTCCCCATGGTTATCCTTTTAAGGAATGGGCCTTTCTCCTCCTCCTTCCATTTCTTCTTTCATCACACCGCCCAGGTCCTAAAACATTACAAATTCTTTCCTGCTCTTTGAACCACGATCACAAAAATATTACATTAAGATAAGCACAATACTTTTACACAATATGGGAAGTGTAATACTTTTACACATTATTCATTTCACAAATACCAGTCACTAAAAAGTGATTAAAATCTTATTGCATAATGCAAGCAAGACCTCAACATCTAGAAAACTTTCTTTCTCCAAAGAGCACAGATATACTTTTAATACAAGAAACTCATTTTCCACCTATCTACAAACCTATATTTTTCCATATGTAGTACAGACAGTTCTATTGAAGGAACGCCCCAGACAAAACTAGAGGAGTTGCTATCCGCTTCCCCAGATCTTTTCCTTTCACTCCTATTAAGATGATTCCAGATCCTGACAGACATTATATACTGGTCAAAGGGTCTATGGAAGATTTTAATTACACTCATCTCCTGTTATACACCTAAGTATTTCCCGAGGTGTGCGGCACATACCAGTGCACACATCTGCACTTTGAGTGGTACACTGTTAAGCTGGCCACTCACTGGCTGACCATTCACTTCCCTCTGTATATTCCATTAAATATTGATAAAAATATATTTTAATACCTTGCTTTGTGTTGAAAGATGTATATTTTTATACTTTTTGAAAGATTTTTAGAAACATGGGAACTTACAAACATATTACGATCCACAGTTTACAGTGTGCTGGCATTATTCATCTATATCATACATCCTTGACTCAGCCAGGTGAAACAACGTGGCAAAGTACTAATAAGCATTAAGAAAATTGTAATTCATTGGGCAGGTATCATCACTGGGATGATATCATTCAGGACCCAGTGTATGAGGTATACCGTTGGAACCAAGGTGTTTCACAGGGATAATGATAGAAGGGAAAGAGGAGATTGGAGGGGGTGAAAGAAAGGGGGGCAGCTTGGGAGGAATGCAAAAAACACTGGGAGTAGAGTTCTGGGTTTAGAGACTCAGACTGCTGCAGCCAAAATCTAAGGGTAATAAGTGTTTCACCCAGGACAGGGTGATCAGATTTTATCAAATGTGGCCTGCAAGTCTGTTAATTCGGCTGTCATTTTCTCATTTAGTATCAATCTGTGGGTGATCAGGCAAGACCATCAAATGTGTTGAATGTGCCTGGCCCATTGCAGCCTCTAGAACATAGGGCAGATGCAGTTTGCCAGAATCTCGCTATCCATGTTGTTTCCAACACAAACATTGTGGTATTGGTTTCCCAGATCCTACTAGAATCTTCCACACTGATTGAGCTATTCAGCTCACATCCCCAATTAAAAATATATGGGGGTAGAGAGGAAAAACCTGACCCCAGGATGGAAGTGCAAAGAAGTGAAACCATGCCTGGTGAGTTGGGTTCTTTATGATACTTGTATTTAAATGGAGTTTGGGGGGTAGACTTGCATTGGCTGAATGTACTGTTTTTAAGATATATTTTTTAAGTTATAGATAACTACAAATTTCAGTATTTGGTAAGTGGGTTTTTTTTCTGAAGTTAGGTAATCTGTGTAAACGCGATCCTGGCCCAAACTCAAATGTTCTGTGGAGTTTCGCAGGCCAGGAGAAATAGTGAATAATTAGGAATGACTGTAAAGCTAGGTGTAGCTATACCAGGTCTCCAAAGAACTTACTGTTGTCCCACACTTTTAGAGAATGACCAATGATAGGTTATATAATTTGAGTCTCTACTTAGGCAAATTGTAAATTCTGATTGTATTAATTTTTTACTAGGAAGGCTACTAGAACAACCCAGAGGGATACTTCCTGTGTTGCATGGTATTTGTCAGATGCTAGGTAATATTTATTTATACCCTAGGGGAGTCCTCCCAAGAGCTTAGGCAAGTATAGTATCCAATTATGTAGTCTCAGCCTCCGTCCATCACTAATGAAATAATTAATTTCATCCTGAGTAGATCACAACAGACTCTGTCAGCAAGGAAGGGACTGCAAGACTATGAACATCATCCAGTCCGAAAGTTAGGCCTTGACTATAGTCTGACCTGCAAATTTTAAAGCAGACTGCATGGGACTACAGAAGCAGCATAGCAAAATCATTGCTGCAGTGGAAGAGAGCAGCACGAGATGCTGGATTGTTTTGAAGCGTGGCATGACAGCCATAACAGGGTGAGAATGGCAAAAGACTGTTGCAAAGGTTTAGGGGAACACAAATAGCATATGCCTCCAATCATCTACATGGTACATTCTTTTTGAAACCACCCCAGTCTAATTACACAATGGAAAATGGAGTACTGTTTCTATCAGTTCACTTCCTTGGGTTTCAGTGGTGGGAGAGTGGTGGCGGTTGAAGAGAGCAGTGTCCTTATTAGATGGTGGTTTGTTTTTTTTGTTGGGGACAGTGACATGTCAGCTATCATTGGGCTAGACTCGCAAAGGTCTAAAGGAATACAAATGGCATATAGCTCTTACCAACCACATGGTGTACATGCTTTTTGACACTACCCACTCTGATTACACAATGGAAAATAAAACATTGTCTCTATCCCTGTTTAAATGGTCATTGCAGTTTTATAGTCCGCAAGCACAGCTAGTAAAGACTGAAGAGAAGCAGGGAGGTCAAAGATCGTGTGTCCTGTCTAGTTGTGATATCTGGACCATCAAGACCAATTGAACAGAACTGCAAATCTCTGAACAGCAAAAACTAGTATGTTACATTTCCTAACTTTATTTATCTTTGTACAGCACCTTTGTACTTGAACATCCTGTGTACTAACGTCTTACTTGGTTACCAAATGTTCTATTTAAGTCAGAAGTCTCACTGGCATTCCTGAGAAGGTTTCCTGCATACGTTTCAATAACTGTTCCAGCTGCTCAAATAATTGGGCCAAGAGAAAGATTTATTAGGGCACGAGAATCTTCTGTAAGCTTAAGTGGCATTAAATTATACAATTGCTTCCTTAAGATAACATCACTTCTGCCAATGAGAATGAAAACTAGACAGTTACAGGCAAATACCGATAACTGTATGAGAACGGAAAAAGCACTGAAATTATTCCAAAGAAAAGGGAGCAGATGCATTCCTGACTCCCAAATGTCATTCAGGTACGGGAAAGAGCACTATGATGAGCAAGGCACAAAGAATCTTACCTGTTTCCTAAGAAAATTTAAAATGTTGGCCGGTTGTGTAGTAACTTCATCTTTGGATATTAAGATTGGCCCAAAACCTATGACATGGAAATAGCACAAGTGAGTTTGCAGCAATCTTTGGCTTTCAACAGGTGTTTGCACACAGACAACAATGAAGATCAGAAAAAGGGACTGTACATTCTGTACACCCACATGAACCTTAGACAGACCCCGGCAGAGGATTGGAAGGTGTCACTTTGTGCATGTAGAGAAGATGGTGTACTCTGGAGTTCTCTGATCAATTCCGCCCACCTGATCTCAGCAGTAACTACAGAAAAATAGTCAAACGAGGCGGTCTAGAGAGTTCTTTATTGAAACAAATAACTTCTCTTACTAGCTCATATTTTGGTCTGATTAAATATACCATTAAACATATTTTGGTATATCTGTTTGATAACCTATTGATCATGTCCGAAATTCAGAGATGTCCTGAGTCCTGTGCATACTACCTATTTATCTGAAGGATATTTATCTCACTCTACAGAACAATTAGTCCCTATGCTGTAGAGATGATGAGAATGGGCGAAATTCCGTGCAAGTGAAATCCACAAAAAAGGTATATAGTGTAATTTGACAAGAGGAAACTAGGAGCCATGTTCACTTCTGGCACATCAACATGCATTTTTTTGTACTCGAAGGGTCTTTAAAGGGGTTAAAACATGGCAAAAGTGAATGTTTTGCAGAAATGTACTCTCTCTCTCTCTATATACATACGTGTGTGTGTGTGTATTTATTTTTTTTTTTTCCCCCCTAACATACACTTTAAGAAAGTATTGTAACAAAAGCATTAGAAAAGCAGCCAGAGAAGTAGAATTTTCAGAGAGACAACTTAGTAATGGCAGCCTACACATTTCTCCAGTGACGGGTTTCCTTTCTTTACGTTACCTAGGTTTGAAGGCCAAGCCACTTTATAACACTGGCCTTCATACAGTATGAGGAGACTTTCATAAAAACTTTGTGTGGCCCCCAGCAACCAGACTCAATACCTTAATTTTCAGTCATTTTCCTACATAAATTTGAATAACGGTAGTCTGTTTAGAGAGAGTGAGTGTTGGGACTAAGAAATGTAGTGGGAAGATGTCATTAGTTTTGGCCATTTCTTCTTGACTCCCAGCATGAGTCCAGCCTTGTAGGCTCCTCTGACATCAGAAAACCATTTTGCCAATGGTATGAGCAAATCCCAGCAGAGAAAAATAACTCTTATGTTAAGAAAATATAAGAGCTACGTAAACAGAATTAAGAGATAATTTAGTGAACCAGTACCAGAATACCCATGTGGTTTAATCAGTGCATATGGCACATGGTCAAGATAATGTAAATGGCATTTGCTTCAAAAGTTAAAACTGGATGTTCTTTGTTTGAACACCAGACCTCTTGTATCTCAAAGAGGTTACACAATCCTCTCAAAGCTCCTATCACCTACAAAAACCACTGCTGCGCGTTCTTTTCTGAACAAGTAATGTCTATGTGACGGTGTGTAGGGATTTGTTATTATCTCACTCTATAATCTTACTCTAATGTTAACCAGAACATCTATAAGACTAGGACATATTTCTCCAATAAGTAACTTCTCTAGAACACAATTCCAGGGTTCAAACTGCTTCATGTGTTCTTCATTACTGTATATAAATAATTTTTTTGTCACATTATCAGAAGAAGCCAATCTTAAAACACTGCTTAGGATTTCTTCAATGCTAGTGGACCGAGGTACAAATCTTCAACATTTGTCTCTGGAAACATGAAGGCTAATCAGCTATTGTAGTCAAACATCTGCTCCAGCAATTAAAGCTTACTTCTCGCTTCATAGAAAAAGCAGCCGGTTTGTTTAAAATGACGTTCCATGCCAAACCGATGTTTGATGTAGCAGAAAGGAAAAGGCACCATTAACCCTACAGTAACTGGATGACATGTCGTTTGCTAATGAGCTGTGCATCATACACAATTGCCATGTTTTTCTTTCCCCTAAAACGTTTTCACCTGTCTTTTTAAAAAACATTTTCATCTCAGTACTGATGTCATACAGCAATCTCTGCCACTTTCTGTCTTACGTAAACGTACTCCGGCACCAGCTGTACCTTATTGGTCCAGTCCAGCTTCCTGAAATTGACAACAATGGGCCAATGCCTCTGCAATGTGTTTTTACAGTCAATTGTAGTCTACACTACAGGCAGGTGCTACAGGGTGACAACACAGGAGCACAATTGTGAAAAGGAATGTTGTCACCCTATAAAAGAAAGTGCCCTGAAAATCACAGGGCTAGGCTAGCATACATGGGTTTTGTTTTTTTTTAAATCAGATACTCAGTATGAACTTGTATAGAAACAAAAAAAAGGAGGGAAAGAACTGGCTACAAATGAGCCAGGTGCTTTTTAGGTGCCTCAAAAAAGCACAATTACCAAAATACTACTAAAAAGATTAGTTTATTTGTAACAAAGTTAAAACATATTGTGGCCTTGATAAACAGTTAACAGCAGATATGTGATGAACAACTATATACATATCAGGCTGTCATGCTGATCCAGGGTACCGGGAATCAACAGTTAGAGGCAAGTTCTTTTTCTTTTCTCAACTTTTCCATATCCAAGATATATTTACCATTTATATAACAATAACTCCATTCATATGATGGATTACAGGAACGTTCCTTGTGTGGTTACTGCAGGGGTCTTTCCTGATTAGGACAACCAAGATGTGGATTGCAACTTTCACTTCTCTCTCATTGGAGTACTAACATATATAAAAGGACAATTCTCTGATTTTTCTCTGCTCTCTTTGGGACTTTTTACATGGAAGCTGCTTCCTCGTACCGTATCTTATAGGAATTTAGTGGCGAGTGCTCTGACATGTCTACATGGATTTTAGATCAGATGGCTACTCACACATGAATATATCAATACATTTGTATGACATGACATATACAGTATGCACAGGGATACATGTGTTTTTCCAGCTCTAGCCCTCTCCCCCCCCATCTAGAGCCCACTTTTGGCCCTGTATTTGAGTGCATAGCAGTCTGAGGTAATACTTTCTATTTATCTACCTAAAATACTATTGTATCTTCATGTTGTTCTATGCAGGTCTATGGTTATATGTTGTATGTAAATAACGAGGCGATATATTGCTATGTAATGATTCCGGTTTGAAGTAATACAATGTAGCATACAAAAATTATGTGTATAAATTACTATATATAATCTGTTGAACCATAGACATCCATGAAAGGTTCCTGAAGAAGCTATTCCTTGTGAAACGCGTTAACCTTAAAAGGAAAACCTAGCATCTGTCCAGATCTGTGAATACTGGTTACAAGATATGCATATGGTTGTTCATCCCATATCTGCTATATGTTAACTGTTTATTATGGTCACAATATGTTTTTTAACAAGATGTTTTAACTTTGTTACAAATAAACAAATCTTTTTAATAGCATTTTGGTAATTGTGCTTTTTTGTGGCACCTAAAAAGTCCCTGGCTCCTTTGTAGCCAATTATTTTCCCCTTTTTTCATTTCTATACCGTTATTAGGGGTGTGGTGCCACCCATTAGGCTCACACCTCCTTTCCTTTGATGATTTGCTCAGTATGAACTTGTGTTCGTTGGTTGGGTTTTGCTTAAGTCCTTCGTACAAGTTACATACAAGTTAATTTGAAACATAGCAAATATATTAAAAGATACATTCATACTTCGCAATACTCCACGATCCCAATTAGATAAATGCCACAAAATTTGGTCCAAATGACTCATCACAGACAGTTTTTTGGGTGAGGCTTAACACAGTCAAAATTGCCCCAGGCAATGCAATTTTCAAATAATATGTGAAGCTCAGCTTCAAGAAGGAAGCAAGAAGAGACGGAAAGTGTGAACTCAATGGAATCCGCCTATCTTGTTACTCAAGAAGACAAAAAGAAAACATACACCTGTCAATTAATAGGACTTACCATAATAACCGCTTGCTAATTCCACATAAACCCATAAATACTGGAGGCATAACCATAAAGACTAAGAGCCATATCATACTGGAAATCCTGTAGCTGGGTAATCTACTCTCCTCCACTAGAGACATGTACCTGTCATACATCACACCGCAATATTTAAATACTACCAGTAAATTCTTCTTTCCCCTGACTTCACATACGACAGGTGTCTATGGGGGTCGTCTCTTTAATAAGACGATGCTCAGAAGGTAGATCCATGGAAGGCTATGGGGATCAACTGTGCAGGCCTGGCCAGCGCAAAGAAGAGTGTCTCTAGTCAGAAGGTGCTCAGAAAGTAGATCCATGGAAGTCTATGGGGATAAATCGTGCAGGCCTGGCCGGCGCAAATAAGATTTTATCAGTAGGATGGAAACACTGTGACATGCCAGAGGATGGTGGCAAGTATGCATTTGGGGCGGGTGGTTTACTTTACTTTGGGGTGGGAGAGCAAAAAGGGTATGTCCATTTGTTTAAAACTTATTCTCTAACCCAAACAATGCCTGATTATCGCAACAGTTGTTTGAATCCCTCACTTACCAAAATAGGGCCATGAAGAGGCAGACTATGAATCATCTACCAGTACAACATTGTTAATCAACTTGTGGCTTCAACTGAATGCTGTGTACAAACACTGCAGATTATGTATACAGATTACCTTGAAGACTTGCCCAGGTATAATCCACAGGGTTTAACTTCAGGGGAGCACCAACAAATCTTGCATAAGCCTGGAAAGTACACAGAAGTAAAAATGTAATATAGAAATAAGAAAATACATGAAAAGCGAATAACAACAACAAACCACAAGGAGCTGGCTGCAGTTTTCACATTTGTTATTACTATTACTTTAGGCTGTAACTGCACTGTTTATTGTATCGGGTAAAGATGAATGTAGTCACACAGAGATTTTTTAGATAACGAATAAGCTGCTCTGAAAATGTGATTATTGCGTATTTCAACTAAACAACATACCCTTGAACTGCTGTCTACTTGACACATATACAGAACAAGAGTATCTAACTGGCTATCCAGAACTGTAGAATAACTTAGCAGTGGGATGAGGGGGCAGGTGGGCAGACTGGTGGGGTGTCTCCTTGCTTCAAACCCCCAATACTCAAGCGTAGCTACCAACAGCTGGCTTTGCCCAAATCCAACCATCCCTCTGCTTTACTGCAGCTGCACACTCTTCTTTGCTCCCTATGATCGGCAAGCACAGATCAGATAATTGCTTGAATACTTACCATAATTTCCTTTCCTGATAATCCATAGCAACACACATATGGTGAATCTCCACCTTACAGGTCCACCAATATCTTCTAAAAACCTTTGTCCTACCACACCTCCCATACTTATAAATAGATTCAGACAGAGGGAGCAGGTTTGTATGCCATTATGGAAATGTACCGGGAAATAAAATTTAGTGTAAGCATTGAAACAATTTTTCCTGATGCCTTAATGGCAGCATACTTGTGGTTATAGACTACAGTGGATATAAAAGTCTACACACTCCTGTAAAAATGCCACGTTTTTCAGATGAAAAAAAAATATCAGACCAAGCTAAATCAGTTCAGAGTTTTCCCACCTTTAACGTGATCTATAAACTGTACAATTCAATTAAAAACAAACAAACTATTTAGTGAGGAAAAAAGTGATAGTGCGGCTGCATAAGTGTACACACCATCTTATAATTAGGGATGTGGCTGTGTTCAGAATTCACCAATCACAGTCAAACTGATGTTAAATAGTTGTCAGTACACATCTACCATCAATTAAAGTGACTTTGATTAAGCCCATATAAAGTTCAGCAGTTCTAGAAGGATTTTTCTGACATTTACTCCAGTTGCCTTCAAAGAGCTTACAAAAGATCATAGGGATCTTGTTGTTGGAATGTATCAGTTAGGAGAAGGGAACAAAAACATTTCCAAGTCATTAGATATACCATGAAACACAGTGAAGCCAGTCATCAACAAATGTAGAAAAAACGACAACAGTGAAATTACCAAGAACTGGACATTCCTCCAAAATTGATGAACAAACAAGCCAAAAACTGATCTGGGAGGCTGCCAAGAGGTCAAGAGCAACATTAAAAGGAGCTACAAGAATTTCTAGCAAGTACTGGTTATATATAACATGTGACAATAATCTCCCGTATTCTTCATATGTCTGGGCTGTGGGGGTAGGGTGTCAAGACGGAAGCCTTTTCCTACTAAGAAAATCATCCAAGCCCAGCTATATTTTGCAAAATTAGGATAAAATAATCTGCGCTCTTGGAAAGATAAGGCTAAAAAGTTAAAATACTAATCCTTAAGCTGCTGTGAATTGGAATATTTTGCAAAAGCCTACATCAAGTCTGACAAAAGCATGTAGGAAAATGTGTTATGGTCTGATGAAACCAAGATTGAACTTTTTGCCTATAATTTCAGAAAGTATGCTTGGCACAAAAACAACACTGTGCATCAACAAAATAAACCCCATTCCAACAATGAAGCATGGTGGTGGCAGCAATATGCTTTGGGGCCGTTTTCTCTTGGCTGTAACTGGGGCTTTAGTCAAGGTGGAGGGACTTATGAACAGTTCCAAATATTAGTTTTGTATAATTTTATTAATATTAATTTTGGTACAAAACCTTCAGGTCTCTGCTAAAAAGTTGTAGATAAAAGAGCAATTTCACCTTTCAGCACAACATCGACCCAAAGCATACCTCCAAATCAACAAAAGAATAGCTTCACCAGAAGAAGATCAAAGTTTTGTAATGGCCCAGCCAGAGCCGGGACATGAATTCAATTGAAAATCTGTGCGGTGAACTGAAGAGGCCTCTGCCCAGAAGATGCCCTTGCTATCTGACAGATATAGAGCGCTTTTGCAAGGAAGAGCAGACAAAGATTCCCAAGGCAAGATGTGCCATGCTGATAGACTCCCACCCCAAAAGGCTGAATGCTGTCATCAAATCAAAAGATGCTTCTACAAAGTATTAGTTAAGATTGTGCATATTTATGACTCCTGATCTACCCACAAGTCAAGACTCCTGATCTACCCACAAGTCAAGACTCCTGATCTACCCACAAGTCAAGACTCCTATTGTGTGTTGTGGTGTGCTGTGCATTATTTTGTCCATTCTGGGGGGCAATGCACCAGAGCAGACAGGTGTGAAGGGGCCCTAAGTGATTACTATAGTTATTTTCCATTCACAATATGAAATCTATGTGTGATATTATTTATAGAATAATATATTTATTAAATTAATGATTGTCATCTATGTAGTACAGTGGCTGGATCAGTATTTTCTAGGAAACAGCATCATCCGACTGTGTCATAAGGAATTTTGTGCTGCAATAGTTCTAAGTGATTTTTTTAAAGCTAATAATTATATGCACATCAATGCTGCCTCTACTTTGCATGGGTGACTGGTACACTTTAAAGCCTTGGTTCTCAACTGGTGGGTCGTGACCCAAAAGTGGGTCGCGACCCCGTGTTCAGTGGGTCGCCGCGAGCCTTCCTCTTTTCTAGGTGAAAGGCTCCTCAGCCTCCCACTAGCGCAGCAATGTCCGTTTTCGCGCTGAGCAGACATTAAGAATATGAAGCCTGGCACAGAGGTCAGCTTGAGGTGCAGTGGGCTGGAGCTATGGCCGAGAGGAAGCTGGAATGCCATGTGTTCCATTGCAGTGCAATGGGTCGCAACGTAATTACCAAGGACAAATGTGGGTCCTGAGGTTACGCAGTTTGAGAACCACTGCTTTAAAGGATGTAAGTCAAAAATCAGGAAGCAAGTTCCTGTCCGTGGCTTCTGATGTAAATCACGCTACCACTCAGCTCTCTATAAGCATTAAAAAGCCTTGTGTCACCATTCGCTTCCATAGGCAGGTGATAGTAACCACAGCAAAAGGTAAACATGTTTGCCAGGTCATTTCCCCAAGCCATACTGTAGATTACTTCAGCAAATATAAAGCCATATGTATCCTATGCATAGCAAAACTTAATAGGTCCCTAACACTTTACATGGATAGGGTCCAATCTAATCACATTTCTATGACACCTATTGTAGTAATGGAACATTTTCATTCAGGACACTAAATATACTATTGATTTTACACTCCTCATAAGGGCTTTCAATTGACCATCTTTGCTTAGTAAAGCTCAGAAAATCTAATACGAAAACACAGAAATTAAATTGTGAGCAAACATGTGAAGCAACTGCAATCAAAGCTGGAAGTGAGAATTTCCTAATAAGTTATAACGCATAGGAAGCTATTGAGACCCCAGGAGAAAAATGAAACACAAGTGGTGCAGTCTTATTTTGAATTATGCCTGGCCCATTCACATGGAGCACTGGATGGAAAAATGTGTAAGCTGAGGCCATCAAAATAATGAAAATAACATGTCAAAATAATGAGTAGGCCCAATAGAAAGCGGGTAATATGCACATCTCAACTTTATTGGTAAGAGTCCATCTTGGCTAAAAATGTCAGGTAGTGTTGGAGCTTTCCAGTAAACCCTGCCCCACACATTGGCCCATACCTATGTATGTGCAGGAGACAAGATGGGGCGATCAAGCTCCTGCACCATCAGGAAGTGTAGAAGCTTTGCCCATCAAAATGGCTTGCGAGTTGGCATTGGGGGGAAAGTTTGGGAGGCTTCTGCTGGAAGGCTCTAGGTGGCTGCATGTTATAACGGCAGCAGTTTGCCCCATGTACCCGTGACAGTGTCTCTTTAAGGAGATGATAATATGGCCAATATCTATGCACCCATACTCAATTTGGAAAGGTGCTTTGTACCCCTGTATATAGTGGAAGAGCTGAGATGTTGTAAAAGATGTTATGCTTTAAAGTTTTCCACAAAGGTATCTGTATACAGGCATTTCTATTGTCCTTGTCATGAGCAGAGATGAGCCTGGGCCTGCTCAAAACTGTGATGGCCACCCCCCTCCTCCTGGTTCAAATCAGTGGCAAAAAGGCACATGCCAGAAGGAGGGGGTGGCGGTCACAGTTTGATGTGAGCTTGGGCGAACTCAGGTGATCTGGGTTTACACCAAGCCCAGGCTCATCTCTACTCAAGACAAGCAAAACCAAAAGGAAAAGGTTCTCAGCCAAAAGGCTGTGGGCTTAGTAGGAAGGAGGGCTTTTGAGGCAAATATAGGACCTTCAGAGGCATATATAAAATTGTATAAAGTCACAACATTTTATTCAAAACATTAAAAAACATAAAAATGTACATTGGTGCTCAGCCAAGACCTATACAATATTATCGTCATATACGCATGTATGAAGATGATGGAGACAATTGTGGTCAAAAGAGTCCATAGATGGAATTAACAAATCACCAGTGTTGTAGAATATGCTTTAGGCGTTTCACCACCTCTGTGGCTTCCTTAGGAGGAACACATTCCAACAATGTGAGTTGATGTGACCATGTATATGAACATGGCACCAATTGTCATCCGAACAGAGTGAGCAAACATGATTAGAGGAGCCCAAGGTCCACAACGTTTGTCCCCAGTAGAGGGCCGAACAACAAGGAGAAGACTTCACAGATAGACAATGCTTGTAGATGTAACTGGCACTGCATGTGTGCTGGAGCTTCCCAGAAAGGTGACAAACATCTACTCAAGACAAGGACAATATCTATGCCTGTGTACAAACACCTTAGTTGAAAACTTTAAAGCATAACCCATCTTTTACAACACGTCAGCTCTTCCACTATATCCAGGCATACCAAGCACCTTTCCAAGTATAACCTATTACATCTGCATTTTCCCCTGTGCTTTGTAAGCTGCCATCACAACCACAGGCACTGCTCAGTTTACCTTCCAACTGTATGAAATCAGACTTTGATCACGACTTTCAAAAAAAAATTTAAATTGTTGTTGCCTGCAGAGAAAATGACAGCTAAAGAAAACTCTGATGCTAAATGGTAGTTATGGGCCAATGCACACAGTCCACAAGAAAGGCATTTTCAATGTAAAAAAGGCTTGGTTCTTAAATCAAAGTCTTACAGCTGACCGACTGAGTTCAGCAAACCCATCGAGCAGATACAAAAAAATTGGAAATTGGAATTTGAAAGTTTGAATCTGCCTATGGGACGATATAGACCATTATATGAAAACAACCTACATTTCATCATCACCAAGCTACAAGTATTGTGGCATCCAGCTATTTTTGTACATCTATAAAGTTCATAAATCAGAAAAAGCACTGACATCAGCACAATCATACAAGATGGTAATGGGAATACATAACGTGTTTTGGTATAGTTCCATTTCACCAGGATGTCTATGTTCTGTATATACGGCGGGATTTCCATCACAGAAACCATGCAGGATTACAGCTGTTGGCACCCAAAGTAACATCCATCTTCTAGGGTTCTGTCTTTTACACACATCATTCCTTTGTTTTACCAGCCCAAACCTGGATTATAAGATTGACAAAAGTCACATCTAACTAGACTTGTTTCACAACGCTGAAGATGTCCGATAGCTTATCCAGTTCCAATGAGTGTCAGAAATACCCCAGGATTTCTATCAACTTGGGCATGCATGTTGGGGTATGTTCCTGTCAAGGAACTGAGGAAGCTGCTGCTTGGATAAGCTGTGAAATATCTTTGCAAAATAAGTCCAATAGAATGGGACAAGCAACTATTAGCTGTACCGTGACCTGGATAAATGAGAACCCTCACAGACATATACAGGGAACAGCCACTGTCTTTCTACTGCCTACAGGCCTACTGTGCCCAATGATAACTTTTTATTAGGAACTCTAAAGCATTCTAATTTGTAGTCATAAAAGGATGCACATAGTCAAAAACAACACTTAGGTAGACTTTGACATTCAAGTGATAATTGATTAGTTTTACCAGGCCCAAACTCTATCAAGAAGACATTCTGCTCACCATTACACCACCAAGCTTGGACTAATAACATAAGGCACGTTGGATCTAAGGATTCATGTTGTGGATGACAAATTCTAAACCTGCCATCTGTTTTTCATGAGAAATGGAGGTTTATCAGACCAGGGTAAATTTTTCCAGTCTTCATGTGTCCAGTTTTGGTGAGCCTATGACTTTGCAGCCTTAGCTTTCTGTTCTTGGCTGACAGGAACACGATGTGGTCTTCTAAAGTTGTAGCAGATCCACCTCAAGGTTCACCATACTATGCATTTCGAGATTATTTTTTTTGCTCACCACTAGAGATGAGCCTGGGCTTGATGTGAACCCAGTTCGTCCGAGTTCATCCAAGCCAGCTCAAGACTCAGACTACAACTCCTCCCTCCTGTCCAATTAGTGGTGGTGGGGACATTCCCTGTCCCATTGTGACATATGCTTCAGGATGGGGAATTTGCCTCTCTGCAATTGATTGGGCCAGAAGAAAGGGGTGGCAGTCACAGTTTTCAGTGGGCTTGGTGAACTGGATTCACACCAAGTCCAGGCTCATCACTACTCACCACAGTCGTATATTAGTTATGCGACTTAGAGTAAACTGTCAACTAGTACTAGTCCTGCCATTCTTCTCTGACCTCTCTCATCAAGGAGGCAATTCCATCCGCAAAACTGACGCCCATTGGATTTTTGTTTTATTTTCACGCCATTCTGCGTAAATTCTAGAGAATTGTTGTGCAGGAAAAATCTCAGATCAGCAAGCACAAATATACTCAAACCCTCCCATCTGCCACCAACAATCACCGCGATTAATTTTTTTTAATGCTGATAACATTAACAGAAGCTCCTGGCCTGTCTTGGCATGGTTTTATCCATCGTGATGCTGCCACGTAAATGGCTGATTAGATAACTGCATGAATAAGCCAGGCCTACTTGTGTGACCTAATAAAGTGCTCACTTAGTTTGCATGTTTAAAGCTGAACTAAACAAAAACACACAAAACACCCTTGCAGTGACACTACCCCCACTCCAAGAGCTAAAGTGACACTAAACTCAGGAGTTAGATTTTAAAAATGTATTCAGGTACCTTAACTATTTACAAAAATGTATCTTATTTGTGTATCACTCAGCTGTAGATCCTCAAATCATCTCTGAATTGGTGGTGACACTGTCCTTCCTTCTGGAGGGGGGCTACTTTTGTTCCCCATTGTCCCTGTGTGTGTTGTAAAGTAGTCACTGCTCCAAGCTCGCTCCCGTGATGGACTACAATCTCAGTACAAATTGGTAAACGAAACATGAGATTGTAGTTCATCACGGGAATGAGCTTGGAGCAGTCACTACTAGTGATGGGCTCGGGCGTGTTCGCAGCTCCACAGCGTGCAGCACCAATCACAGGCACCGAGACATTTCCCGATCTCTGCAGCTGCGGACCGGGAACATGTCTCAGCACCTGTGATTGGCGCTGCGCGCTGTCAGCTTCCTGCCGGGCTCGGCACGTGGTGCTGCGAACACGCCCGATCCCATCACTAGTCACTACTTTACAACACACACAGGGACCATGGGGAACAAAAGTATTCACCCTCCAGAAGGAAGGACAGTGTCAGCACCAATTCAGAGGATACATTTAAGTTAATAGTTAGGGCTAGTTCACACCAACCCCAATTGGTGCCAGAACGCACTGGATTTTATTCCGGCCGGCTCACTTGGTTTTGGGATAGGGCATGGCTGGCCGCACCGAAACACGCACATTAGTGCCTGCGTTCCAGTTCGGTCAGAAAAAATGCTGCATGCACTATTTTTTCTGACCGCACCGGACTGTAAAACGCAGGCATTGCTGTGCCACGCGTCCCGATGCGGGTGATCGCACTGCAGCTGGAGGGAGTGGCCCCCATCCAGTCCCAAAACAAAGTGAGTTGTCAGGAATGAGATCTAGTGTGTTCCAGCACCAATTGGGCCGGAACACACTGGGGCTGCTGTGAACAAGCCATAACAAGGTACTGGAATGCATTTTTAATATTTAACTCTTGAGTTTAGTGTCACTTTAAATGCTTGTTAAAGGAGAACTATGGGGTAAGTGTTTTTCCCCATAGTTCTAAGGGTCACCGGAGGACATATACTAGCGTCCTCCTGTGACCCAAAGCTGAGTATATTGCAAGCTACAGCTCGCGGTATACTGAGAGCGCCGCAGCCGGGACGGATCCCGAAAATGCTGTGGAGATCCACCAAGCTGGCTGATTGACAGCTGGCTCTGCCCATCTAGAGGCAGAGCCAGCTGTACCCGCCCCCTCCCCATCCGCTCCTCCAGTCAGCACTAGAGGATTGGAGAGGGGAGGGGAATCCCTGTAGGGAGCCGTGACTGGGAGATGATCGAGAAGTGAGTGAGTGACGGTATGTGTTCGCTGAAACTGTCACACGTCGGCTCGAACTATGCGGTTGAGCGATTTTCACTCACATTATAGTTCTTTAAGTCTAGAAGTAATAAGGTGTCACACTTAGCTCATAACTCCCTCCATCTGTGTGACCGATCTTCCAAGCATCTTCTCTAAGGCGCTCTGGCTGGCACTCGCACGCTGATGTCATCACATACAACGCAGGGCCAATAGTCCTGCATTGTACATGAGGACAGCGAGGGACCGCCAACAGCCCTGAGCATCAGAAACAAGTGGAGGGCACTGAAGCCTACTAAAGGCCCAGAATAAGGTAAATATTGCATGCATTTAACCCTTGCATTGCATGGGGTGGGGGGTGGAAGCAGGCACTGCAAGCTTAGTGTTTTGTTGTGTAATTCCCAGAGTTCAGCTTTAACTAGCAAAGCCAGTGTAAGGAAGGCTGCACGTGACCATAGCAACGGTTGCCTAGTGAATCTTGTATTCATATTTATATTGTATTTATTGCAGGAATAATTCTTGCCACTGCTCTTTAGGTAAAGCCAATCATTGGCTGTCTGTATGAAGACAGCCTGCTGGTAAAAGGTAATTTCTAATACAATGCAATGATTGTGAGCCCAATAGAGGAAGGAGAGTGATTGCTCTCATTGTAAATATCACCGTCCTCTGCCCTGTATGTGACCTTGGGGTAATCACTTTCACTTTGTGCTCCCAGTTACTCTCTAAAGCTGGTTGGACAAGGATGGCTGAGTGCACATCACTAGCCGGGTACACCGATCACAGTGCCTGCACTGACCACATGCGTGCACCCTCCCAGCAGCATTGCTCCCGCGATCGCACCGCTCTTACCAGGACCACCAGGCTCTCTGGGTGTACGGAGGGCAGGCCCCAGTCTCCGCCCCAGAACCTCAGCTCCATGACACGAATCCCCGCGGCAAACCGGCTGCAGCAGCGGAATTTCCTGCGGAGACTCACAGCACGGCCATCCCTGGAAGGCGGAGCCCAGGATACCAACACGGAGAAGCAAGTGACAGCTGGCCCCGCCCACTACGGGGAAGCCGCCGGAATGAACGTCACACGAAGGATAACCACGCCCCTCTAGAGTGATAAGCCAACACACAGGGAACGCCCATGGTACCGCCCACTCCGCATCTGTAGGTTATGTACACTGACGTCACATGCGGCTGAAATGTCATTATCTGTGGGACTGCTCCACGTAGAGTGTAGCAGTGATTTCGGCCCAATTCACACTAAGCGTTTTATCGTGCGGATTTAATGCATGTCAATGGAGCTGTGCTCGTCGTTGTCACGCGCCGCGCGTACAGGGCCGTTTTTTGGCCGCGGATGTCGCGCGATTGTCTCAGCTCAATGCAAACATTTGTGCGATAAACCGCGCAATATTGAGCAAAATTACACTGAGCGGAAAGTCCCGTGATTTCTGCCACGATATCATGCATTTTTGCCACACGATATCGCGAGAAGTCGCCGGCCAATGATTTTCAATGGAGCTGTCTTAATGTACAGCTCCATGTCGCTCGTCACGGTCGCAAGTCACGCCTGCAGGACCCTTTTTCCCGCACATGACGCGCAAATTTCCTTTTTTTTTAATGCAGCCCGACGGTGAAGGTCACGCGATTGTGGCTGGAACGTCGCCCCAACCGTCGTGCTATCCTGCCGTGCTGAAATCTGCTCGAGGTGAGTGGAGCTTAGTGTGAATGGGGCCTTATTTATAAATACGTGTGCCTGCAGAGTGTATACATGGAGATGGAGTCAGGGGTCATCAATAAATAATGTCATTTAAAGAGACCTTGTCACCTCAAACATATCTAAAACCTTTCCGATTTGGATAGAGTGGGTAAGGGTTAAACCCATTTATTAGTGTTTTTTTGGCCATTCTGCACCCCACTCAGGAGATTTCTCTTCACTTCCTGTCATGTACACACAACAGGAAATGAGAGCAAATCTCTCCAGAGCATGCCTCCCAAATTTATAAAGAGGGATACTGGCACCAGGTGCTGGAACATGCAATCCTCCACCTGGTGCTGAGACATTTGGGAACCTGGGGACTGGTTGAAAATCCCTGGACCGTCCTGCGGAAACTGGGATTGTTTGGCGGTATGCCAAAGTGAGGTAAATCTTGCCATTCTGTGTCCCATTCAAGAGATTTCTATTACTTCCTGCCCTATAGATACAACAGGAAGTGAGAGCAAATGGGTGCGGTTTAAGGGGGTATGGTTAAAAAGAGCCTGAGTCACGCACAGTTGACACCGCACATGTTTGCCACAGTTTTGGACTACTACCGGGCTACTAAGTAATCAGCAGATGATTGAAACAACCAATACTTTATTGAGGAGTATGTAACAGTACGTAAAGATTATGTAACAGTGCTATGACACAGCTAAAGGCAGTTTTATTCTGTAGTGTCCAAAGCGCTGCCCTTGTCACCATATCAGTTCAACACTAATATTTGCCTTTTCTCTATTTATCTTAGACAAAGTGTGCTGTGTGTGTGCTTGTGATGGCCACAGTCAGGCCCGGCGCTACCGCAAGGCAAGTCAGGCGGCCGCCTGAGGGCGCTGCAGCGTGAGAGCGGAAAAAACAGGGCATTTTGACAAGTATTTGTACTTGTCAAAATGCCCCGATGCTTGCGCTATGTTTTTTTTTTTCCACTTACCTTCAGTGCGGGAGAGCAGCGGCGACTCAGCGCTGGTCCGGTGGGAGGAGCTCCAGGTGGGGTCCTAATTTAGCTGGCCAGCGACTGCCAGAAGATCCCGACACGCGCAAACAGAGACAACTGCTGGGGCTCACCGGAGGCTGAGCTCACTGGGTCAGAACAAGGAGACAAGCTGGGAGCCCCCTTCCCCTGTTCTGAGGCCTATGTCTGTGCCCCCGCTGCCCTTGCAGCACTGCAAAAGATGACAAATATTGGCATTGTGTTATTGTCATCACATTTAACATTTACATTCACAGAATCAACATTCACATTTCCTGAATTAACAGTTACAGTATTGGTAACACATGTATCTGTTACCCGTTTCTCCACAAAAATCTCCTCTCTGTCCCTAGGAGCAGGAGCAGGAGAACCTGTTATGTTAACCCTGCATCTGTACACAGTACTTTGGTGCATCCAGAGGGTCCGGTGGAGGAATCCGGGGTGTCTTCTGAAGGCGCATAATAATAGATCAGGGTTCCCAAGTCTGTGTCCAACAAAACTGGTGTGGGAATTTCACCAGAGACCCCCACTTCTCTCATCCTGCTTCCTGCCCCCCAATTAATGAAAACACAAGCTCGAGGCACCCAGGAACGAGTGCCCCCAACTCCAAAAACTGCCTAATTTGTGCAGGGCAAATGTGCAGCAGCTGATCCTGGATCATCATGGCTTTCCAGGGCTTCATAAGACTCCTTCAGCCCCTTGGTCCACTCCTGGAATGTGGTACCTAAGCAACTGACCACATCCAGTCTGCAGGCCCCTTTGGCAGGGACCTGAGCTGTCTATGATACACCCCTGGTGTTAGCTCATACTTCCTCACGATTGCTTCCTTTAAGGCTTCAAAATCATTGTCTTGTTTGAGTGGCATTTCCACATAGGCATCCAAAGCTTTGCCTCTCAGCCCTGGCGTCAAATATTTGGGCCATTGGTTCTGAGACAAGTGATATTACGTGGATATCTTCTCAAAGGTTACAGGTAGATATCGATATCACTGTCCTTGTCCATAACTGGAAATGTGCCTGCAGGACTCACAACCATAGGTACTTCCCTGTGCTCTAGGGAACTGAGATTCGGTCCCGGTCCCTGATGCTGGAACCTACACTAAATGCTCTAAACATAACTATCCCACTCCTCTGCAAACAATTTGTGACGTACGCCTGGCCTGAACCAACTGTATGTCAATCACATGTGACTATATGCAGTTCTGAACCGAGCGAGTCGTCACAAGGATGTGGTGATACCACTCTCAGCCTCACCCTGCGCAGACATTTCCCAGCTCACGGGACAACAATTTAAGGCCAGCAGACAGAGATTGATCTTCACTAGGGTTGGTTAACTCCGCAGTTACCATTTCACGCACCAAACGTTTGCTGCCACCATGTGTTTTTAACGGAAAACACGGACCGTTCCCAGCAAGTGCTGTGAAAATGTAAAACACTTAAACAAAAGCTATGATACCGCTGTCCTCTCAGACAGGAATATGACAGGATTCACTATACAGTAGCGCTCTTCACAGAGGCAAGGATACTTTAAGTTCTTGTTTACAGGGTAGAGATAAGCTTAACGATTTTTGAGATCGTCCTTTAATAAAAGAAACGGTGTTAAAAAATATACATAAAAAGATATTAATAAAGAGACACAAAATATGTAACAACAGTACAAATAAAAAGGAATAAAAACAGAATACTTAACAGTCCTGGCTTTATGAGTTCTGACAGAGTCAAGAGTTCAATAAGCAAAAGAGAGGTATGTTGGCTCTTCTTCAAGCAAGGTTTGCACAGATGATTTCCACATAATAAAGGGGAACTCTTCTGGGATGTTACGACTTTTTAATGTTGCAGGAGTTCCTTTTCGTGATGTTACAAACAAGAGCCTCTTCTAGCTGCCTCGCAGCATCTTTGTGTCACCCCTATAGGGGGTGCCATGGAGCCGGCCCCTAAGGCAGGGCTGGGGAGGAGGAGCAGGAGGGATGAGCCTTTACGATGTCCTTCTCTGCTCCTCCCAAACTGTTACATTCATAACTAAGAGGATAATAGAGTATTCATATCCAATACATATCCAATTCATATTCAGTACAGTCTGACAACCCCTAAATTATGGTGCGTCATGAGGGTAGCTTTAAATTAAGACCAAACGTAGATGGTTGGGCCAGGAGGAGGTCCCTAAGAATCAAAAACTATGAAATCAAAAAATCTATTTTTGGTATGCATGTTCTTGTTTTGACGAGACCCAGCTATTTGTGTCATTAATTTTACAACATCAATCTCCAATTCCAAGTTATGGAATTGAGTTGATATTGTAACTCAGTGTTATGACTTTAGGGTGAATACTTGGTCACCTGGGTTGTTAAACCTACCAGGCCTGTGTGTTTTTCTAAAACCTGTCAATTGCTAATTTATTAGGGGATTAGCAAAGCTATATAGTAGAAAGGCATCATGGCACACTCACAAACCAGCATGTAAAACAACTTGTCTCACCACTATGGATAATAACAGAGGTTTGGATAAATTATATTTGACAATCTGCTTCCACACCTAAATGATACATGCCTCACTCCTTGTACTGTGCCACCAGGGACAGTCTCGCAGACACATATAAACCTCAAGTATAATATTTTAAAAATGAAGCTTTTCCATTACATATGCCTTTCTTTACAGCAGTTGTGTACATAGCATATTTGACTCTCGGGGTGATTTATTTATTAACACTCCCACCTCATATGTCAAAATGAATACCAATATAATCACAAAATAAATGAATAGTAATGTTAGAAAAGAAATGGTGACAGTTCGTTCTTTATCTGAGTGTTGTATATAGAAGAATGTCAGTAAACAAAAAATAAACAATAAAATATAGGGGTTTCATAGTGGCATGGTTTGATAGTAAATGGCCTGTAGGCATACTAGGCAACACATGGGTAATGGTTACAATACACATATGTAGAACCCTCTACATAGGTAGTTCAAGTTTTCACTTATAAAAACTTTATTCATACAGCTTATGTTATTCTCTCATTTTGTGTTGCTTTGTTTTTTTAAGACAGCTATCCAAAGTTTCTAGTAAAAAAAAAAAAAAAAGGCGTAAAAAAAAAACTATTTATAAAGCCTTTACTATGTACTTGTCATCTGTGGATGTTTTTTTACTGAACCATCAATTTAGACTTTGTATACTTAGCGGAGTATTTTCTTCTCAAGTGTGTTTCCTACAATCTGTAAGCAGTTACGTGAATGTTGTTTAATTTCTTTTCAGATACATTTGGTGGTGTCAGTCAGTGTCTGGGGAA